AGAGATGGTTTGAATTTCCTCTTTCTCTGTCTCCGTTTTGCTCCTGCTCTGCATCCACACTTTTTACGTTTTAGCTCATTTGGGATTTGTTGCTTCAGTTGAGGTATTATTTCAGCTTTTCCAATGTTAATCAGCTGCTCCCGATTGTAAACAGATTGTTGCCATGGTTACGTATCATAACAAATGTTCAAAAAGTGAAAAAAGCTAAAAAAATAGCAGTAAAAATCCTCCAAGCTTCACATCACCAGAAACAGAAAAGTAAAGTGTCCAAAAAATACAGTTTTTCTTGAGAAACTAGAAGAAAAAATGGCCAAGAAAAGGCAAAACTTACATATAGTCAACAGAGCTACTCCAACATGCAGCCGCCCGGAGCAGCACAGTTCCCCGTTTTTCTCCGTGTCTGCTTCGATTATGTCAATTTCATAAAGCGCATTTGTAGTCCTGGACTTTTTACACAAAACTTAAAATAACGTTTCCCACCTTTCAAAAATAAGTGTGTTCTTGGTATTAAAATGCATCTTCATGGACATCATATGTGAAATCCATGGCACATAACAAGCAGAATTAGAAAATAGCGTCTTTAGCCCCGTTGACTTGCATTCATTTTTTTGTTTTTCTGGGGACCCGTGGTCCGGAAGTAGATGGGCGTGACTTAGGCTCCCTATGGAGCGCTGTCTGTCACCTATGATAGACTGTCACTATAGTAAAGCTATGGAATCTTGCGTTACCATAGTTACAGCTCGGGTGCATCGTTTAAAATGCTTAAGGCTAGAACCTTTCAGACTTCAATTCCATCTCGAGCGAGTAGGACCTTTTCTCTGCGGCCTCTGTGTTTGCTGACTTCAGTCTTCCAGAGAGCAGCTCTAGCAGGTAATAAAACTACCCACAAACAACCCAGCCCAACATCTGACATGTTTAGACTTTCAGATTTATCTGAAGTGTTTCCTGTGCTTTACCGGGAGACTTTAACATCCCTCAAGGTAAACTGGTTTTATCATTTATATAAAATACACCTGCTGGAAAAAAACAAAATAAAAAAAAAACCCTTAAGCAGGTCAGATTACAGATAAACAGTCAAGATAAAACTCATTTGAATCTGAAATATGAGTTATTAACGTACATTTCTACAACCCCCACCAATGATTATATGCATTTATAGAACAAAGGTAAGTCAGATGCTTTGTCTAGGTAAGTGAAATGATTGCGAGCTGAGGAAACAATCGGTGACTCCCTCTGTTGTAAAATGTGTGTTCTGAATGGTTCAAAATGTGATGCTGAGGAGAGGAGAGGAATGTAGGAGAGGTGTAGCTGGATGGCTTAGAGTTGGTAACCCTAAATTCTTAGAGAGAGTGTCAGACATTTCTGCAAGGGGGAAATGCTTTAAATGTGTGTGTGTGTGTGTGTGTGTGTGTGTTGGGGTTGTATGAACTAGTCGACTTCACTGCTCTGTAGTGACTTTTTATGCCTCTCAGCGACTAGTCGCTGTCACGTGATAATGAGCGACAAGATGCAGTCCTCGGAAAAGACAGCAGCCTGCGGTCAGCAGGTGACAAGCCCCAGCGCATCGGGAGGCAACGCGCTGTGCCAGAGCGTCGGTACTGACACCCGCCGTAAAACGGACATTTAACCAAATTGTGACGTTTACCCTCTTGCAATTTAACCTTCCCCTCACCCCCATCCTAATCTTAACCAGCTTGCGCATGCAAAGCTCTGATTGTTGACGCGCTCCAGACATCTGCGTCCTGAGCACGGCCACAGTAACATTATCAAATCAGGTGTCGCCACCTCAAAAACAAATTTAACACGCAATTGTTCATGTCGGCTCATTTCCTTTGATGTTTTCTGTCTTTTATTTGTGCCTGATGCGTTTCGCTGCTGTGGAGCGGGGCACATCACCTGTTTTGTCCTCCAATAACTTCACCTCACAGATGCGGTCGGCGAGCAGCACGCACTCCGCTGTTTTTGCAGTCGGTAGATCTTTTAGAACTGCAGTTCAAAGGTAACTCATGAGGTGAATATATATGAACCCAGGTAGCAGTTTCTCTTTAGGATTGAGAGGAGATGCAGGAAGATAATAAACAGGCAGGACAGAAAAATAGTCAAATAAAAACAAGTTAGTTTTTGTACCTGGTGGTTGCAACAAACAGACACCATTGAAGGTAATCAGAAGTGAGGAACAGAAAAGGAAATAATTATTTTAATGTTTAGAGCTGCAGGAACTCCGAGAGGCTGCAGGCGCACTGCGCATGGGGAGGGGGAGAGAGCTGAAGCGGAGCAGTATAGATGCAGAAACTACCGCTGTTTAAAGAGATGTTTAACTTTGAAAATGTGGGTGCAATTTTAATTGTCAAAAACACCAGCGAAACCACCCACCCACCCCCCGCGCTGCTTCAGGTGTATGACGTCAACGACTAGTCAAAGTCAACTCGATTTTCATTACTTGACAGTCGACTTTAAAAAAAATTAAGTCAAGCAGCCCCTAGTGTGTGTGTGTGTGTGTGTTTGTAGGGATGTGGGGTCTCACATATGAAAGGGAGGGGCTGTGGGAACTGTGAGGTTAACACAAAACAGTTATCAAACCTAACTAAAGTGGTGAAGATCATCAATATACATCTTGACAAAAGGGAACTACAAACAATAACTTCATGCGTCATTACACAACAGTCATCAATTCCTTTCTTGACATATAGGGTCATTAAAGATCATATCACAAAAGGGCATAAAACAATAGACCTGTCAAAAAGCTTGACGAAAGGTGGTTCCTTATACTCTCTCACATGCACAGAGATAGGATAAACAAACAGCAAGAGGAAGCAGGACTATGCCAGAGCGTTGTCAGAAATCACCCACAGAGGGAGTAACGGATCATTGAAATCGGTTTGGTGAAAGCGACAATGCACCAGCAGAGCCAGAGGCCAGGTGAATATGATGGCAGGTTGCAAATGAAAAGGAGCGAGTTTCTCATGCAAGTCAAATCTTAAATCATGCAGTCTTAAATAAATCGAAACACATTCTAAACGGGAAATCCTTGTTAGTTTTACACCAATCATTAGTATTTCCTCACATGATGTATTGTCTGGAAGTCTGGGGAAACACTTACAAATCTCATATAGCACCCATAGTTTTATTACAGAAGAGGGCAATAAGAGTAATTACAAACTCTGATTACCGTGCGCCAACACTCCCCCTGTTCATAAAACTAAAAATACTCAAATGTACAGATCTGGTCAAACTCCAAACAGCACAAGTAATCTTTAAAGTACAAAATAAAATATTTACGGACTGTATTCAGAAGCTATTCCAGGTCAAAGAAATTCTGTATGATCTAAGGGGGGAAGGACAATTTGTGAGAGAGAAAGTAAGAACAAATGTTAGGAGTCAGAGTTGTACTGCAGTAGGAGTCAAATTATGGAATAACTTGGACACTGGAATCAGGGCATGTAACACTGTTAAATCATTCAAAAAAATGTACGTCAATAAGATGATGTCATACTACCATAATGACTGTATGTGGTCTAGTGTGTCTGATAGATGTCAATGAAAATGTAATGTTCTTGCACAAGTTATAGTATTGGAATTTCTGTTTTGATCTATCATACATCAATTTATTAATATTACTGGTAGTTTTGTATAGTTCTGTCTTTAGTTCTGTGTATTTTTCCTCTTGCTGAATTATGTTTGTTGTTGTTCTCTATATTTCGATGATGATTAGCATTTTTATTACTTATATCTTAATATTTATTACTATATTACTTATATCTTTCTTTGTCATTTTTTCTTGATAAGTAATGTGATTGAGTAAATAGGGTAGGCATAAAAAGCTAGGTTTCAGCCTACACCTTTGTGGTTACTATAATTGAGATTCTGTTTTATTGTATTCTTTCTTTTTCCTTTTAAATGACCAAAATAAAATGAATTGAAATCTCCAGTAATCTGGATTAATAGCAGGTCAGAAAAGCCCCGTGTTCTGCAGAATATGACATACCCACAGCAGATTAGACGTGCATTGTGCAAAGTGAATCCCATCAAGTGTAAGGCTGCAAAAGTCAAATAAAAGAATGAATTTTCTTTTGGAAATGTCATTAATTATCTAATTTTAGTTTTTCTAACAGACTGATTTTGTTTCCATAAAAAAACAAGAAAATCTCTAAGTGATTTAGAACTTTACAGTGAAAATCAACAGCTCTAATGGTTTTGTAGGTTATTCTGGGATTATCCACATGGAGATAAAGTTCACTAAGCTCCAATTTAAACTTCAAAATCACTTTAGATTCTCTAAACATTTTTTAAAACCTACAGGCACCAAGGATTATTGTCAGCAATTCTGCAATCAAACCCAACTTTGACTTAATACCATTCCAACGCCGTCGTCATCGTCTTCCTCCGCTTATCCGGGTCGCAAAAAGCAGAGACGAGATTCTCCTGCCACCAAACTCGACACACTCCACACCACGGCTGCGCCTAGAAATTCTGTCCATAAAGGTGATGAACAGAACCGGTGACAAAGGGCAGCCCTGGCGGAGTCCAACCCTCACCGGGATCAGGTCCGACTTACTACTGGCTATGCGGACCAAACTCACGCTCCTCTGGTAAAGGGACTGAATGGCCCTTAACAGAAAGCCACCCACCCCATACTCCTGGAGCGTCCCCCACAGGGTGCCCCTGGGGACACGGTCATAAGCCTTCTCCAAATCCACAAAACACATGTGGATTGGTTGGGCAAACTCCCATGCCCCCTCCATCACCCTTGCAAGGGTACAGAGCTGGTCCACAGTTCCACGACCAGGATGAGAACCGCACTGCTCCTCCTCAATCTGAGATTCAACTATCGATCGGACCCTCCTCTCCAGTACCTTGGAGTAGACCTTTCCAGGGAGGCTAATCTAATCAGAACCTTGAGATGGACAGCTCACATGTTGCTCTGGTGCCCCCTACTGGCCACTGTGCTCCCTACGTCTATTGTTTATCTTTGAACCACAGAATAATATAGTCAAATAAAATCAGCGATGATTGAAACTTTATATATTTTCATTTACTTGCACAAAGAACAGAGGATAAACAAATAAAAACTTCTCATTCTAGAATGTCACTGAACATCTTCCGCTTCCTGGACTCGCCCGTCTGGATTTCCTGCCAATGGGCTCTTCTCTGCACAAAGTGAGAGAGGGCAAACTTTGCCCACACGTGACGAGCGAACTGGTCCGCCCGCAGCTGGGTCTCACATGGAGCTGGAGGAAGGAAATGGAAGTGAGCAGCGTGATCCTCTGTGACTTTTCTGCACAGGTGATTGAAGCTGTTCTAGTTACCGAGTTCTTGAGCGATGCTTTTTCTCTGACTGACTGTGCAGCTGTTCCACACGGCTTCCAGCACCCGACTGCCGAGCCTCGAGGAGGCCATTTGGACATACTGGCCCTAGGAGGGATTTATAAGCTAAAGCTTTGTAGTCAAAGAAATGTGGTGGAATGAAAATAGCTAGTTTTACCTCTAGTCTTTTAAGGATTTTGCCCTTGCCTTTGTCACTGGATGTGGTGATGAGGGCCTGGAGGACGTGGCTGCCAGCAGGATCAGAAGCCAGAGTGAGGAGGTCAGCAGGGCTCATGGTGCGGAGGCTGCTGAGGAGGAGGGAGCGCTCCTTGAACTTAGCCAGTGCCTGCACCAGTCGGGAGCCGTGGTAACAGATGGAGGTCAGGGGAACCTGGCAGCAACAAGCAAAAGACAAGAAGTTCCTTTCTGCACTGATCACACGGTTCTGCGTAAGGTCCGCCACTTGTTCACACCTCTTTCTGTGTGCTGCCCTCTGCTGCTTCAGACTGGTAATACACCTCGTAGGTGAGCAGGGACATGAAGAGTGGGAGGCAGCTGACGTGTCGAGACCCGGGCTCAGCGCAGTGGAAAGCCTGAGAGGACAGCTCAGGGTCAACAAATCCATCCCATAATCACATTCGGTCACAAAAGGAAGGTGAAAATATAAAAACAAGAGGCTTACTTGGAGAAGGCACTGCATCATCTCATCCTGTCTCTCTCCACTTTCTGCACAGCTCTCTGCCAGCTGGACGATCACACCCATGTGACCGGAGGCCAAGATGGCTTCCACCCCCTGAACCAGCTCGTCAAACAACCTGATGAACTACAGACAGACAATAAGGCATGGAGGAAACCCCGGGCAGCTTCACCATCCCTCTGCCCTACCTACATGTTTATGCTTGGCTGAGGCTGCCGTCAGCCGCTGTATGGGGAAGTTAGCGATGGCATGGAGGGCGAGATCAACCAGGTTACCCTTCAGGTGGTGCTTGTAGAGGTCACGCAGGAGAGACTTGTGGGAGAACTGAATCATCGTCTCTATGAGGTGGCTGGAGGCTTGGTCCTTCAGAAAGACCAGGAGGGGACTAAAGGAGGGACAGACAAAAAATATTAGATACGATGGCTTGGTCCTCTCAGCCGCTGTGATACAACATCAGCCCTTTCAGGATTTAGACATCAGCATAAGGCCACAGCTTCAGCAGCAAGTAGATCAACCACCATAACTTACTCCACCTGGGAGACTGGTGTCGGTACAGGATCTGCTCGGGTGCAAGATCTGCTCAGGGTCCTTCGACTGCCGATGACGTCAGAGTACGGCAAACCCACTCGGACAAAATACAGTACACATCTATACTGTTGGAAAGACTTTCACAGTTTCGTTATTAAAATAATGTTTCTTAAGATGTAAGTTTGTGTTTATAATGGTATTTGTAAAATAAAACATATTGTATTCATAATGTTGAACTCCTCTTTGAGCACATCCCTTGAAGGATCATAGGTATTAGCAACACCTGTGAAATTGTATTTGCAGGAAAGAAGTGTGTCCCGTTTATTGAAGTATTTTGTGTTTAGAGTTTTTGACGTCTTGTCCATGCGTAGTTCAGTTACGCTCATAGCTGCTAGCCAAAACTCTGGAGTTAAAAGTTTTCTGGCTTTACTAAAATACCTGTCTGTACTTATTTGATTGATGGTAGTTTTACTTTCTATTAGACTCCAAATGTAATCATTTGGCACGTTTCTAATTCATAATTTGTAAGAATGTAATCAGTGATATTAGCATTAGCATTCCTATGGGTTTTTCCACGTATATTAGCATTGCGCTAACCACTCGCTGCCAAATTGCAGCCTTTGCGATTAGAAAATCTCCTTTTGTCACATCGCAATTTAATTGCACATGCAGTTAATTGTTCAGCCCTAATATACATGCAGCTCTATGCTAAAAGTGTATTTTCAAAGAGGTAATGATGGATTTCTTTGTAAAAGTTGTCCATCTTTCCAGCAGAAAGATTTGCCTGGACCAACGTAACGTGATTATGTAAGGTTCATGTTCAGCCAATCAACTACTTTGACGTCATCGGCAGTCGATGGACCCCGAGCCGATTTTGCACCCGAGCAGATCTTGTACCGACACCGGCAGAGTGGCTGTGGCATGCAAAATGGCCAGCCCAGTGAAGTGGAGACATGTGCATGCTAAGAAAATCACCCAGATAGTGGAGACGGCCCTCGTGTGAAGTTTCCATCACTTTGGAAGGAGAACAGAGTAAAAGACACCCACCTGACCCCAGGAGCAGCACTGTGACCCGTCAGGTACTCGGTGATGCGCTTGAGCAGCTGTTTGCAGAGTTTGGGACGTTTTCTGTGACAGACGGTCAGCATGGTCTGGAAAACGGCACTGGCAACAGCATCTCTGACACTCACTGGAAGAAACAATACAGCATTTTAGACTTCCACCATTTCAAGGAGTTTTGTAGTGAGACCAAAACTTTCCAAAACAAAACCTAAATATTTTGAAGAATAGCCAACAGAAAGAAGGAAAGTCTTTCTGAGTGACATAAAAAAAACTTTCTAAAGTTTATAAATTTATATTTGTAGCGATCATCTTCATTAGATCGGACATTTCTTCTGTGGGAGTAGAATACTGCCACCTGCTGTACACCAGAAATTCTAGATATCCTAGAAAATTGAGTTGTGTGTGATGAGCATACTTCCTGTAAACTCTTCTTCTGCTGCCGTTCCTGCAGCTGAATTAGTTTCCCCATGAAGTTAAACTGGAGTCGAGTATGAGCATCATTCATTAATCAAAGTGGAAACGATGCAGCTCCAAAGAGCACATCTGTATTTTCACTGGGGCGCATTTCAAATTAAAAGCACAACTTATTTCCACAAAATCTTTCTTTTTATACAACTCTTTTGAGTAATCTCCCAATTTGGTCTTCATTATGATAGAAACATGGAAAGCCTGTCATTGAATGACAAATGCTAACACAATCTGACATATTAAGCTAGTTTCTGAAAACAAGCAACACTGGAGTTACACTGTGCATTTAATCTTTCATTTCAACTGAATAATCATTTTCATAATGTCTGCCAATCTAAAGATTTAGTGCTGCACCTATTTCTCTGTGAGATTAAAGGGCTGCAGAGGTTTCAATCTCCTTGTGTGTTAGAAACAGAATCAGATCAAACAGATATTTTTTTCCCAGAGAATTCAGCTAAAAGCTACTTTTTGCAGTGTTTGCATTTACCCTGAGGTTACTTACTGACTCTGTAAATTTGTACTGCTATGAAAACTGTAGCACTCAATTTAATATATTAACGCTGAACATCTTCCTATCCCAACGGCGATCTATTCAAACAAACGCCCTCGGGCTCGTTCCCTTAAGCTTTGCTGGAGGTGTCGCCATCAAAATCAGCTTCATTTGTTTTTAAATCCCGTAGATAAAAAAAGTTAAAGGGACTATAAGGAAGTTTGACAGCCAAAACATGTATAGAAATAATAAATTGTCACGTTGCGAAGTTTGTAGGACCCAAAATGCAGGAACCCAGGATCACACGAGGAAGGTGATGATATAAAGAAAAAATCCTTTATTTTGGAGGATAAAACAAAAGAGCCAAAGTCCAAAGATGCCCAAATACCAAAAGCTAGAGATCAAAACACTGAGAGACGAGAAGCACAAGTAATACTACAGATCATGAGCGAAGTCTGACAGAATTACCACAATGGACCGACAAGACACTGAGGCCTAGTCCACACGTAGCCGGGGTTTTTTGAAAACGAATATCCGCCCCTCCAAAAACTTGCATCCACACCACCGCGTTTTAAAAACAGACTCTGTCCACACGTACCCGGATAAATACGTTGTTAAGGACATGCCAGACCTGTAGGCGGCAGTACTTCCCCCGTTCTTAACCTCATCCTTCATCTGTGGTCTTCCGCAAGGAGCAGTAATTCTGCTTGCAAAAACAAACAAGCAAAAAGCGCTTGGACAATTGATAAAGCGAGCGCAGCTCTGAGGGCATCTATGCTGTCGGCTAGTGTAAACACAGGTCGCACACGTGATGTCAGCATTTTTTGTCGCGGAAAGTGACGTTGCGGACCTTAAAACTCCGGTTTTGTCTGTCCACACGCAGACACCCAAAACGGAGAAAACGCAGATCTTCACTTTGGCCGGAGTTTTTAAAAAGATCCGTTTTCGTGTGAAAAAACTCCGTTTTCGTGTGGATGACAGGCCAAAACGTAGAGAAATATCTACGCTTTGGCAGATCCCCGGCTACGTGTGGACAGGGCCTGAGACACTGACAAGGCTTAAATACACTGGGGCATAATGGGAGGATGATGAGCTGCAGGTGTGAGGGGAGAGAACCAGGTGAACGTGATAACTACTCAGGGAGGAGGAGCAGGAGAGGACACCAGACCTAACTGGAAAAGAACACACACACACACACACACACACACACACACACACACACGACTCTCTCAGCTGTTATTTTCGTTAAGGAGTGTGCACGTACAGCATGCGCGCCTCGTGCACGAGCCTACTATTGAAGCTGCCGTTACGCTTTTGGCCTGAGGGGGCAATCGCGAGCATAAAAATTCAAAAGTCCGAAAAGTCCCTTTAAGAAGAAATAACAGGACCAAGTACAAAGTTTATAAATCGTTTTTTTTGTTTTTCTTTCAATCTTTCATCTTCCATAACATCACAATTTAGTCTAAAATTTTAAGAACTGGTTTAAACTCAAGGAAAAGGATGACTCACGTTGGATGTTTTCCATCAAGGCCTCTGTGAGGCTCTTCAGCTCGTACCAGAATGAGGTGGGGATCTCAAAATCAGTCAGCTGAGGGGCAGTTCTGCGTTCTTTCCCACCTGGTTAAAACCAAGAATATCAAAATAAAAGTTGGTCACGAATACAAAACTTCAAACTAAAACGCCTGTGGCTACAGAGACCCCGACAGCTTCAAAGAACCACAAACGAAAGGATCAAAAGCTTTAGTTTCACAGGTTTAATGTAAAAAATAAGATGAAATCACATTTTTGGGGGGGAGAAATCAGGAGGCTCAGTCATTCTGGTTCTGTAACCGTCAGCTTGTTTTAGTGTTACCCACGTGGAGGCGAGGGCAGGAGCTGAAAACATCCAATTCCTGCTAACAATCAAACCGTGCTCGAGTTTTCTAAGACAATTCTCAGAATCTCAGTCAGATTTATTGACTCTATGCGACATCCACATCTCAGAGAAATGTTATCTTAAAGGCACACTTTGCAGTTTTGCTTGCTTGTAGCACCCCCTAGTGTTCTTTAGTAATCCTCTGTGGTTAAACCGAAAATTAAACTTATCGCCTTGCTGTGTGTTAATCTTTTTAACACCTTAATCTAACAGCTGAAATGTCTCCTCAGCCTTCATTAGTGTCTACAGGAGTGACTCATCACTAAATTAAGCAAACCAGCTGTGTTCATCATCTAAAACATGCAGGATGGTGCTGGAAGCAGACTGCAGCTCCACCATGTCAGCTCCACTCCACTCCACAGCCCCTGGCTTCCACCAGCAGGGACCAGACCAGCAATTCTGAAGTTGCAAGTGGAATATTCTGGCCACAGGGGGCGGTGGGCATCTGAGTGACATTTCATTAACCCTAAGAGTCCTTTTAGCACATGCTGGCTCAAGAAAACGATTATAAAATATAAAAAGTTGCATAGTATGGCTTTAAAAGAAACAAACATAAAAACATACAATTATACAAGATTATTGAGAAAAGCAACAATTATAAGTGTTAAAACCTGTTCTGCAATAGGACTAGCTTGTGTGAACGTGTGAGGGTGAGGTGGTGTCTACCTGGACGAGCCTCGGTGCGAGGGGGTCCAAGGCACCCCCCCAGCACGTGCATAAGAGTGCGGACCACGTGGGAGCCGTGAACGTGTCTGATGAACTCAGAGCTGTTGTCTCTGATCACCTGACTCAAACACAACACCTGTGTTTCCAACAACCCAACTTCTGCCTCTTCTTCTTCTTCTTCTGTGGTGGCAGATGGGTCCTCCTGTGATGCTTCTACAGCAAAGATTCACAAAACCCACCAGAGCTTGTTTAGGACAGTTTTAAATTGACACTTCAGCCTTTTCTAAGAATGTTTTTTTGAAAAAGTAAAGAATAATTAATATAATTTGATTTGAATGGCCTATGTTTGCAGAAATAGACTTTAAATCAGAACTGATGTGCGGATTTGTTGCAGATATGTCCATTTCATTAGTTTTTTCCAAATATGTGTGACAAAATGAACTCATTTAAATCACTAAAATAGTCTTTAAAAACTAAAAAACTAAACAAAGAGATTCAAAACATATTGGGATTTTTCGAATATCAATATAAATGTCTTACATTAATATTATTGAACATTTTAATATAATTAAAAATTTTAATGGACCATAATGCACCAGTTTCATTTGAATATTAATTGTGACTGTTCCTAATGAATAAATAACTGCAAAAAATACATGTAAATATTAATTTTCTTGTAGATGTGGAAGGTAAAGGGTTAATCAGCTACACTCTTCAAAAAAGAACATTACTTTATAATGTGAACCTTTAAACCAGTGTTAATTCTGTCTTCTGTGAAGTGACGCCACCAACACCGGCGATCTCTGATGACAGCCAGAGATACTAGCTGAAGCATGTCAGGAAAAACAAAACAAAAACAAAACAAAACAAAAAAAACATGTTTTTTACTAAACCCTATCAAAAAAGGAACAAGATAATGGATAATGAAGATAAACACAGAATGAATATCCAAAAGAGTTAGGGTCCTAATTACCTGTTTGGTTTGATTTTTAGTCCCTTCTTTTTAACTAGACTGTCTATGTGATTATTTAGCTTGTTTTAATTGTGCAGAGCTTTGGTCAGCTGTAACTGCTGTGTTGAAAGCGCTTAATAAATATGGTATTATATGGTTATAACGGCAGGGACATTGGAACACAGATGTTTACACAGAAATATACTTTAATAACTGCAAAATGGTTCATACGTTTTATAAATCATTATGAAAATTTGGAAATTGGGGCCATTGTAAGACTTTGGTCTGGGATGCATGCATACTAGCTGTTAGCTTGTCAGTCCTCTTGGATGTAAATTCTGTTTCTCCAAGCTGAGGCCATTCACGAAGGCTGCTAGAAGTAAGTACAGTATGAAGGTTCTGTGTTCTGAGCCAGAGCTAGTAAACAACCGTCTAAGCCCCTCCCCCACAGCTCATTAGGAACCATATTAGAGTTGCACAATATATCGGAAATACAGGTCCTTCTCAAAAAATTAGCATATTGTGATAAAGTTCATTATTGTCTGTAATGTACTGATAAACATTAGACTTTCATATATATTAGATTCATTACACACAACTGAAGTAGTTCAAGCCTTTTGTTGTTTCTAATATTGATGATTTTGGCATACAGCTCATGAAAACCCAAAATTCCTATCTAAAAAAATAAGCATATCATGAAAAGGTTCTCTAAACGAGCTATTAACCTAATCATCTGAATCAGCTAATTAACTCTAAACACCTGCAAAAGATTCCTGAGGCTTTTAAAAACTCCCAGCCTGGTTCATTACTCAAAACTGCAATCATGGGTAAGACTGCCGACCTGACTGCTGTCCAGAAGGCCATCATTGACACCCTCAAGCCAGGGGGTAAGACACTGAAAGAAATTTCTGAATGAATAGGCTGTTCCCAGAGTGCTGTATCAAGGCACCTCAGTGGGAAGTCTGTAGGAAGGAAAAAGTGTGGCAGAATACGCTGCACAGCGAGAAGAGGTGACCGGGCCCTGAGGAAGATTGTGGAGAAGGACCGATTCCAGACCTTGGGGGACCTGCGGAAGCAGTGGACTGAGACTGGAGTAGAAACATCCAGAGCCACCGTGTAGAGGCGTGTGCAGGAAATGGGCTACAGGTGCCGCATTCCCCCAGGTCAAGCCACTTTTGAACCAGAAACAGCGGCAGAAGCGCCTGACCTGGGCTACAGAGGAGCAGCCCTGGACTGTTGCTCAGTGGTCCAAAGTACTTTTTTCGGATGAAATCAATTTTTGCATGTCATTCGTAAATCAAGGTGCCAGAGTCTGGAGGGAGACTGGGCAGAGGGAAATGCCAAAATGCCTGAAGTTCAGTCTCAAGTACCCACAGTCAGTGATGGTCTGGGGTGCCATGTCAGCAGCTGGTGTTGGTCCACTGTGTTTTATCAAGGGCAGAGTCAATGCAGCTAGCTATCAGGAGATTTTGGAGCACTTCATGCTTCCATCTGCTGAAAAGCTTTATGGAGATGAAGATTTCATTTTTCAGCACGACCTGGCACCTGCTCACAGTGCCACAACTACTGGTAAATGCTTTACTGACCATGGTAGTACTGAGCTCAACTGGCCTGCCAACTCTCCTGACCTGAATCCCGTAGAGAATCTCTGGGATATTGTGAAGAGAAAGTTGAGAGAAGCAAGACCCAACACTCTGGATGAGCTTAAGGCCGCTATCGAAGCATCCTGGGCCTCCATAACACCTCAGCAGTGCCACAGGCTGATTGCCTCCATGCCACGCAGCATTGAAGCAGTCATTTCTGCAAAAGGACTCCCGACCAAGTATTGAGTGCATAACTGAACATAATTATTTGAAGGTTGACTTTTGTTGTATTAAAAACACTTTTCTTTTATTGGTCGAATGAAATGTGCTAATTTTTTGAGATAGGAATTTTAGGTTTTCATGAGCTGTATGCCAAAATCATCAACATTAGAAACAATAAAAGGCTTGAACTACTTCAGTTGTGTGTAATGAATCTAACATATATGAAAGTCTAATGTTGATCAGTACATTACAGACAATAATGTACTTAATCACAATATGCTAATTTTTAGTGAAGGACCTGTATATCGTTATCGCGATATCAGCATGCGCAATATGCATATCGCAAAGAACAGATAAATATCGCAATGAATGGTCAGCTCAAATGTTTGCTACACATAATGCATTCTGTCAATCAAACGGAAACATGTTTCTTTTTTAACAAATCAAATAGAGCTCTTCACCCACTTGGCCAATTGGGTGGGTTCTCATAGGTTAGATGCCCGCCCCCGAGGCGGATGGCACTCAATTTTGATGGTTAGCAAATAGGGTCGGGCGATTTGTATAATTTTTCCCACCGCCAATCGTCAGTCCAAAAAAAGACGATGGACGATTTATTCGTGCACGTGACGTCATGACGCACAGACTGATTTGCGAACACAGAAGAAGCCCAAAACATTGATTTTTTTTAGACAAGCGCAGCACATATGTTTGCTGGAAGAGAACTTAATATTTTTCTTTTTGTTTAATTTAGTATTTGTAGTTTGGTAGAGTGACGTATAAACGGCCCGTATTAAACACGGTTAAAATGTTAAAAAGAAGCCTCGTCTTTGCTTCCCTGTGGTGCCCACTGTTGTGGTATTTTATTTAAGCAAAATGTTTCTTTCTGAACAAAAACTTTTGGGGTTCTTTCTTTTATAAGAGGGGGGATGGAATGAATCGCTGTCTCATTTGGACGCACCCTGAGGAGGCAGCTCGCTGCCAGAGGTCACATGATCCATTCATCCCCATCACTTTCATTTTTTAAATAATGGATAATCATTCGTTAAATTTCCATTCATTTTAATTAGTATTTAGTCCAACCAAGCGGATCAGAATGCCCCAGTAACATGAACAATGCAATTATACGATTTCACTTAAATTAGGAACATTCCACCTGCGCCGCGTAAACCTGAAGTGGCCACCTGCAGCTTGTGTGTAATCAAATGTCTCTAGGGAGCTTGCTGAAGAGGTTATGAGATTATAGACTTTTGCCTCAGACAGACTCATGGCTGTTTAAATAATGTTCTGGATGGATCCGTGCTCTGCTGACACGCTCAAAGCAGGTGCTGAATAACGACGAGAGCTACTTCAGCCAAAGTTTTAAATAAAGAAACATTTCTCCAAATGAAATAACCAGAAGTCTTCCAGACTGAAAGATAGAAGGGTTTCCACTTTTCACTCAACGCCGCGCTGTAGTGCACGATGTCGAGTGCGTCACAGACGCTCTCCAAGCCCCTCCTCGGCACGCCGCTTGCACGTGCACTGTCAGCAGCCAGAGGCGGAGGAGGTGAGAAAAGGCTCAGATGCGCTGATGGAGATCTTCTCGATTGTTACCTCCGTGATGTTCTCTGTGCGTAACGTGTAAAATATTCGTCAACAACAAACAAAGAAATAAACAAATCGCCTCCTGTAAGAAATAACCATAACGGCTCAGCCCATCGCCGATGGTCGATTCATTCGCCCCATCGCCCAATCTTATTAGCAAACGCCTGAGTTAGCTTTCTTCTGCTGATTCAGCTTTTCCCGGGATCCACTGATTGCCTTTTCTTGTTCATTTTCTTTTTCCCTTTCCTCACATCTTTTGCTTTTCTCATTTTTATGATTTTTTTGTCATTTTTTTATTTATTTGTTTTTGATTATTTTTGTTCCTGAGTTAAGTTTTTATTTATCGCAAGTAATATCGTCATCGCACTATTAATCAGTGTTATCGCAGGTTTTCCTAATATCGTGCAGCCCTAAACCATATGAACTCTTTAACGTTTTATTTGTTTGAATAGAAGCAAAGTTCTTACCACTCCACCTGGACATCTGTCTGAGTGCGCTCTCCACCACGTGGCCCCCACACCGGTCACATGATACGACCTTAAACCCTGATCCCGATTCTCCACCCAGCTCGGCCAGTACACCCCCCACCTGTTCAAAGGTGGCCAGAGGGAGCAGGCGCTGCAGAGTGATGCTTCCTGTTCTGTCCATCGCCACCAGGGAGGCTTTCCCCTTCACCTCTGAGAGGACGTTCTCCACAAACATCTCTGAAGAACAACGAGACGAGAGAAAGTCAACGAACGTGGATAGAGTCCAACCTGCTGCATGCTTCACATAAAGCTGGGACCAATTTAACATACTGGGTAAGACGAGTATGAGTTAAGACAGCTAACTGGAATAATGTGGGGAATAACTAGTTTACTGTAATCAATAAAACTAATTATTTAAATTATTTTGTCACATTTAATTATTGAAAGTTTCCTCTTATTTTGCCTTGCTTTATAAAGATGCACTTCCTTCCTGTTGCATGGCTAAACGAGTGTCTGGTGGAGCTCTGGTGTCTGGCAGAAGGACAACGGGGGATAAAATCATCAAGTGAAAAGAGAAAATTATTTTATGGTGCATTTTTAGCTGTACTTCTCAAAAATAGCATCCTGAACATACCTGCTCAAAACTGAAGCCATACACATAAAAGTTCTAAGGAGGAAGCTTGGCACTGGCTCTTCTACACTCATCAAACTTTCATTCTTGTGTTTCACCTCAGAAATCTAAATCTTCTCACCTCTCTCCTCATTATCCTGGAATTCTTCACTGAGTCTTTCTCCAACCCGGCGGAAATATCCAACACTCAGAGCATCCAATCGGATCTTCTCACCCTCTCCTTGACCTTTATGTTTTTCTTCACCTCTCTTCCTCTTTTTTTCTTCTCCACTTCCATCTGCACTAGGGTGTTTCCTCTTTTTTCCTCCTCCATTTCGCCGCTCATTCACCAGCATATTGTGGACCTCAAAGCACAGAGAAGGTTGCACTTTTTACAGGTAATTCCCAGTTTTAAAATCTGTGAAAAGCAAAGAAGAACATACATCACATCATTAGATTTTGACTGGCACAACACAGCTTATTTCACACTGGTTAAGACTGAAAACACACCTGTTATATTGGCATTACAATAGAAAAAAACACTCATCTCAGTATCATCCCGAATCACTATAAAATAAAAGCTTTAAGGACTTAGCTTGAGTATCTTAGTAAGTGTAACTTGACCCAGTCACGCATCCTAACTGAAATGATAGCATGAAAATCAGCGAATATAGCGTTTTTGTTATTTGTTCGTTTTTGTTTGCCTCGTGATTTTTATCTTGAGAGGCGCTATAGAAATGATACTTTCTTCTTCTTCTTATCTGCTAGATGAGACTAATGCAAGCCGAATTCACCGCCAAGACCCACTGCTTCGCTTTAACTCTATGCCATGGTCCGCTAGGTTAGTATAGTTGTCAATTACACCAGTGGAACATAAAAGTAACATTCCACACACTGAAATCGCCTATGAAGACATCACTCATAGTTTATAAGTTGCTGCAGTCTAATACCATTACCAGCTACCTTATTTGTGAGATAAAACAAACATTTTTATTAGATGAGCATAAAATAACCTCAGACAAGTTACACTTTGTTTTAAAAAGAGAATAACACATGATCTCACGTGTGAGAGATGTAGACCATACAGAAGCGATGTGTTGGTGTCGCACAATGATGACGTAAACACAGCGCGCGGTGGCTCGGCTCGATTTTGCAATTCGTAATAATAATAATAATAATAATAATAATAATAATAATAATAATAATAACAATAAGAAGAAGAAGAAGAAGAAGAAGAAGAAAAATCTTGTTTCTCACCAGCAGAGGGGGCTATTGTTTCACTCTCAACAAAACCTCAGAGGTTACAGCTTCGCGGAGTTAGTTGGTTAGTTAGTTAGTTAGTTAGTTAGTTAGTTAGTTAGTTAGTTAGTTAGTTAGTTAGTTAGTTAGTTGGAATTAGTTCAACATCTGGCCTGCTGTCCATTTTTTGGACGCAAATTTCCACCACAGATTAAAGAAACACAGTTAAATGTTCATAAATTATGAGCAAAACATAAAGAAATTGATAAAATGGGGAAAAACATTTTTCATATACTTTTTTCATTTATTTTCAATGCAGAACATTTATATGATTTCAATAGCCTTTTTGCCAAATCGTGTTTATTTGTATCTTTATTTTATTTACTTGAGTAATTCATGAATTCATTGTAAAATCCAAATGAATTCACGCATTTCCTGTTTAAAACAAAATATGGACATTTTTTAAATCAACAGCAGTTAGTAAACACGGAAAGATGGTGAGTTGCTGCCCTCCAGTGTCTGAAAGCAGGTCATGCACGTTTTCGTTTTCTTTTTTTAGCCGTTTAGAAGAGAATATTTTAGCCTCCTTATCTTATTGAAGCTTTAAAAAAATCATTATCTTTCTTTTTATCCTGTTGGGAATATTAATGCTGAGGAGGAGAAGAAGGAGAGTAGAATAAGAATAAGGAACTGGATTTATAAAATTAAATGGTAAATGGCCTGCATTTGATACAGCGCCTTCTAGAGTCATGGAACCCCTCAAGGCGCTTTAAAACACAATCAGTCATTCAGCCATTCACTTACACATTCACACACTGGTGGGGATGGGCTACGATGTAGCCACGGCTGCCCTGGGGTGCACTGACGGAGGCGAGGCTGCCGAGCACTGGCGCCACCGGTCCCGCCGACCACCACCAGCAGGCAACGTGGGTTATGTGTCGTGCCCAAGGACACAACGACAGCAACAGACTGAGCGGGGCTCGAACCTGCAATCTTCCGATTAAGGGGCGAGCACTTAACTCCTGTGCCACCGTCACCACCAAAAATTAGGAGTTAATTAGTAGAGACACCTCCTCTAAATTCTTCCAAACACCATGTTGCCTTGAAAGAATGAGGTAATTGTGCCGTCTGGTTTTCTAAAGCTGGTTTCCTGACCTCCAGTGTCTAAAAGCCGGTACTAAAAATAAATAAATAAAAATAAAAGCCTACAAGAGATTTTTCTTTTCAGCCCTTTAGAAGATATGTTAATCTCCTTAAGCTTTAAAAAATATAAATCTTTCTTTTATCTTCTTGGAAACGTCGATATTAAGGAGACAAAGGAGTAGAAAGAGATGAATGAACTGGAATTATAACGTCAAAACAGTATGACAGCATAGCTCAGGAAGTAGAGCTGGTTGTCCAGTAATCGGAAGGTTGCAGGTTCAATCCCAATTCCCAACTTGACTGCTGGTAGTGGTTGGACTTGGAGGGATTGGTGGCGCCAGTGTATGGCAGGCCTCGCCTCTGTCAGTGCACTCTAGGGCAGCTGTGGCTATATTGTAGCTCATCCCCACCAGGCAGAATGGGTGAATGACTGATTGTGTTGTGAAGGATTGAGGAATTGCAAAACCCTGAGAAGGCGCTATACAAATAGAGGCCTATAGAGTTACATATTCTTCCAAACACTGCCTACAAAGAAAGAAAGAAAACAATCTTATTTATCCCAAGATAAAAAATCACAAGGCACTTCACAAAAACAAAAAAAGAAGATTAGAGTATAAAAAAGATTTCTAAAAATGATTAAACATATGTTTAAAATGAGAAAAAATACTAATTGTCATTTAAATAAATGTAAAGGAAGAAAGAGAGAAAATGAATAGGAAAGAGGGAAATCAGTGAAAAGGTGGAATAAGAGCAGAAAAGGAGAGGGTGATGACGAAGGTCACACAAAAGCCAGCTTGAACAAGTGAGAAGGGAAGATGGGGAGTTCATGCACTCCAATGTCAGAAAGCTGATACTTATATTTCAAAAATTTTCAACCTCCTTATCTTAATGAAGCTTTAAAATATGTATTCCTTCTTTTTGACCTCTTGGGAAATATGTATGTTAAAGGAGATGGTGTAGAAGGGCAGGAGGAAACAAGTGCCATCTAAGACCCTTCAACTAAACAAAGAAAGAAATAATGTTAAACAAATGTTAAAAAGGGATGGAAATCCACTAAGATGAACTTCGCAAATCAACAAAAACAAGAAAAAAAGTGTTCCCACATTTTATCCTGATATTCTTTAAAAATGTGTGTGTGTGTGTGTGTGTGTGTGTGTTAGTGTGCATGCGCGTGTTTGTGCATGCACAGGACGAGTTCAGTCAGCTGAAGAATGAAGGATGAAGCTTCAAATTTTCAGCAGCTCAGCAGAGATCCTGAAGCGAAACTATGTGAGGTCCAGCAAAAAAATAAAATAAAATAAAATAAATAAATAAATGTATCAGAATCAGCTCACAGCATTTCATGAAGGGTCGTCATCAGTCATCGCTGGCATACCAGCTACAGGTTATACCATTTTTAAATCTAAGAGCATTGTTTCACAAAAATAAAATAAATAAATAAACAGAAATAAGATGGAAAATAAAAAACTAAGTTCATCCTTCCTGTCTTCATAGTATTTAAGTCAGGAAGCATGTTTGACTGATTATTATCGATGCTTCAACCCTTATTAAATGCTGGTCTGGAGCGTACAGGTGTGTGTTAATACAAACAGCTTAGAAATTAAACTGTTATCTGGGATGGTTACTGAGGCGACCATTAACTTCTCTCTGCAGAGACTTTTGGGCAGACTTAGTTATTCCATGTTTTTCTTGGTTTTTCTTCTTTTACAGTATTTGCATCTCATTTGTGTTCAGTAAATAATTTAATGAATAAATCTTTTGTGCATTTTTGAACCTTTGTGGTTAGAAGCGAACAATCTTAAAGAGCAAATTGCAGGTTAAACATTTCTAATTCATATAAAATGCTGTTCAAAAATAAAAATTGAAATGCGTATTGTGGACATTTCGTTTTAAAATACATAACAGCAGAGTTTTTATAGTAAATGGTAAAAATGGTAAATGGCCTGTATTTGATATAGCGCCTTCTAGAGTCCTGGAACCCCTCAAGGCGCTTTGCCACACAATCAGTCATTCACCCATTCACACACACATTCACACACTGGTGGTGATGAGCTACAATGTAGCCACAGCTGCCCTGGGGCGCACTGACAGAGGCGAGGCTGCCGAGCACTGGCGCCACCGGTCCCTCCGACCACCACCAGCAGGCAACGTGGGTTAAGTGCAGGCCCGGAGTGGCTAATCGGGAGGGTCTGGAGAATTCCCGGTGGGCCGCGCGATGTTTGGGCCGCATGGGGCCGGTGCTCTCGTTTTTGTTTTTTATCATTTTATTTTTATTTTTTGGTGCCGGTGTTCAGTCATGGCACTGAGGCCGCCGGGCTGATCACATACGCTCCTCCCGGCTGTCTCTGGCTGGCTCTACCTGCAGGCTGCAGCTCGTTATTTTCCCCCGTATGCGCCTGTGCGCACCACGTGACCACGCAGTTGACGGAAAGATGGAAAGTAGAAAGAGCAAGGGTGGCGCGGAAAAGGCAAGAATTAAAAAGAGGAAAGCGTTGGAAACAGATGCAGCCAAGGCCGGATTAACCATATGGGCAACTGGGCAATTGACCAGGGCCCACGAACTCTGGCCCAGGGGGCAGCAAGCGCACGAGCAAAATACTGTAGGCATGTCTGTAATCTCCCGCATTATATTAAACTAGGGTGACCGTATGTCCGGTTTTCCCCGGACATGTCCACTTTTCACTCTCTGTCCGGGCGTCCGGACTGGGGGTCCGCGGTCGTATTGATGAAAATGTCCGGCTTTTCATCCAGGAGCAGGGATCGAATTGTGGGGGAGCTGTATATCTTAATCAAGGGGAGCCGGAAACAAGTTTTCTATCTATATTACATCATTTATGGACTCTTCTGAGCAGAGAGCACAGAGAGCGGCACAGCGCGTTCTTGCGCAGCGCTCCAGGCAGCTGCTTCCAGCGCACGGTCCATTCTCAAAGTGGCGCAACCAAAAAACTATAATTAGCACACGATCGTTCATGTCCGCACATATTCTCTATTTTCTGTCTTATTTGTGCCTGAAGCGCTCTGCTGCTGCGCAGCTCATCGCCTGTGCTGCGGTGATTTCACCTCACTGACGCATCGAAAGGCGCACTCCGCTTTGCGGTCAGGAGATCCCTTTGATCTGCTCAGAAGTAACTGATGAGGTGAAAAAGTAAGAATCCAGGCAGCAGTTTTTTCTGGAGAGTTTAGAGGAGACGCAGGAAGATGAGAGACAGACAGGACAGGAAAATAGTTAAATAAAAACAAGAAAACAAAACTAAGTGTGGAAAAGTAAAATGTAGGTAGATTTATCTCCACTACACGTTTTTACCTGTGTAAAACAATAAGTTATACACATGTCATATTTATACATCTGATACAATTCAGATCACCTTCAAAACTCAGTCACACACCCAGGGCCGTGTCAAGACATTTTGGGGGCCAAGGCAAAATGCCCCCCCCCCCCATAACTGGGCTCCCCAGAAGCCTCTGTGTAATTGTTACCCTCTCCAGTAGTGTTAGTTATATGGTGTTTATAAAAGCTCCTCAGACATTACTGACATGTTCTAATATTATCAGATGAAAAACTAAATTATCAGACATGCTGTCTCATCTGCTTCTTTTCTAAACTTGCAAAAAGTAACAAAACCATGT